CCCTCAGCCTCTCCTCGTAGGAGAGATGCTCCAGTCCCCTCATCATCCTCGTAGCCCTAATGAGACTTTGTGGAAAAGGAAAACTAAACAGATAAATAGAGTATATGTGTGTGTATATATATATATATATTTACACATAAAACCACTGAGCAAATGTAGTTTAAAAAACCCCAAAATTGCAAAGAATGGGTGTTTTTAAGCATTGGTAAAATGCAGAGCTGGGCTTGTCTCCTGGCTGACAGCTGTGTGCCCGCTCTGACAGCGGGTCCAGTCCAAGGGCCCCTATAAGGACAAATCTGGCTGCCCATCAGGCAGGAGGGATCTCACCAGCCCTGCCTGTCCACCTCCCCAGTGCACCCTCCCGGCACTGGTGGCCATGGGCCCAGCTCACAAGGCTTTGTACAAGTGGTGGCACTCAGAGAAATTAATATAAATGAACCAGGCAGGTGACTTTAGTAAAAGAAACCATACTCAGCTCCTGCAAAGCCACACCTTGTTATGTCTACAGTGCAAAGAATAATGCTGAGTAAACTCAGGAAAAGTATTTCTGAAGCTCTGGCTGCATTAGTTTCTGCTTTAAAACCTCGTAGGCCAGCTCATGAAAGCTTTCTGCCTGCAGGCTTCGCCCCAGATGGAGAAACTTCAGATAAGCCTCTTATTTTCATCAGAGCGCGTTGCCCCGTGCTGTCTCGCGCCATCAGCCAGGTCCGTGCCCAGGATGCTGCGTGCACATCACCCCCCTGCCCCACCTCTCCCCTTCCCCTTCTCCTCCCCACCCCGGGCAGGGTCAAGACAGAAGCAGTGTGTAAATAACGAGGAGCACAGCTTTTACCTTCCCATTGCAGAAGAAGACATGCTGCTGGTGGCAGAAACTAGATTCAACACCCCGAGACCCTAAACGCCAGCTGCCCTCCCGGTCCCCTGTCCCATGGATGGCCAGAGGTCCCACGCGAGCTCACCTTGCTGGGGTTGTTCCTCTCGGTGGGACATGGCTGGCGGCTGC